GATTCAGTGTCTGTGGTTGCAGAGATTGATTGTAAGTGTGGAGCTAAGACTAATGAGAACTTGAAGAAATGTGTATGTATTGCGTACGAAACTCTACGGGCTTCACAGGAAGAGTTCTTTAAAAACCGAAGAGATTCGGAGGAAGAAATCAGAGAATCAAGCCAGAATTTGGTGGAAGAAGATGATGAAATTGGGATTTCTACAATGAAGAGAAGAAGAGAGCAAGTAATGGAAGAAGCGAGAATGAGTCTACCTGAGTATGGTAAAGTGATGCATCTCGTTAAAGCATTCGAGAAGCTTACTTGCTTCCCGCTTTCGAAAACAACAAACCAAACGGAGGATAATAAGATCAAGAAAGCTCTCAAATGGGAATTGCCTGGAATGAGACAGCAACAGCCTCCTAAGTGTTCAGAAACTGAGACAGAACAATGGAGTTCTTCGTTTTCTCCAACTGATTTGGTCTTAACAGCTAAGAATCTAGGATTAGAACAACCTCATGCTTCGGTTTCTTCATCGTGGGACAATAGGTAAACCAAAATATGAGACTTGCATTGAAAAAATGTCGAAATTGTTAAGTCATTGATCTGATTTGGTGATGTTACAGTGTTTCAAGTCTGAACTCAAATGGTGATCGGAGGAGCAGAAGAAATGTATGTGTTTTGGATTCTTTTCAGTTTTCATATATTGCAATATCACTCCTTGTATGTTTGATGTAGTGATAGTTTGATGTTTTATTTATAACAGAGCTTGGACTCATCTGCATCAATGGGAAGTAGAAGATTGAATAAGAAGCAGATAAAAGTCACTTCACCTAAGCCATTTAAACTGAGAACTGAGGTATGAGTTTCTTAGCACAGATCAAGATGACATTGTTCTGGATATGACTGTTTGTGGTTGGTCTTTTTCTGTATGTCAAGCAACGGGGACGAATGAAGGAGGAAGAGTTCACAAAGAAGTTACAAGAGATGATGTTGGAGGAAGAAAAGATGAGAGTTCCCATAGCTCAAGGTCTTCCATGGACAACTGATGAACCTGAGGTGAGCAACCTTTTGTCTTACACTTTGAAAATGTTGTCTTGTATAGCAAAATTTGTAATATATCTTGACATTTCATAGTAACATAACCAGATGATGTTGTCTTAGAGTATGAAAATCAAAAGTGGAGTCAAGAACTCTAATGTTGCTGCTCCTGTTTTCAGAGTCTGACTAAGCCTCATGTGAAAGATATCACAATACCAGTAGACTTGAAGCTCCATTCAGACATTCGAGCGGTAGAACGTGCGGAATTTGATAACCAGGTAAAAAAACCTTACAATGGTTACTTCTATAGTTGAGAATTACGACGAATGTTTCAGTTTCTCGCTATGACCTATACCTTGAATCTACAAAGGCAAAATCCTGAATTGTTAACTAAGGTTATGTATGATAAAATCCCTCAGGTTGCTGAGAAAATAAACCTAATAGAACAATACAAAGCAGAAAGAGAACGGCAACAGAAGGTTAGAGTACATAAGAAGAGACTCCCATTTACTTCTTCTTATGAATCATTAGTGTGAATGTGAAAAAAAAATGACAGGACTTTTATGAATTATACAGCTAGCAGAAGAAGAAGAACTGCGAAGGCTGAGGAAAGAAATGATCCCAAAGGCACAACCAATGCCATATTTTGATCGACCGTTTATTCCCAAAAGGTAAACACTCTTCAATTCCGCTTTCTTCTTTGATAGATTGATGAAACATGCGTTACAAGGACAATTGTTGTTGGTTTTTTATCCATTGAAGGTCGAACAAGCACCCGACGATACCTCGAGATCCCAAGTTCAACATACCCCAACACAAGAAGATAAGATGCTGCAGTACATCGTCTTGGAGTGAAACTGGATCTTACATGAGTGATCTCTTGTACCAGCAAGACCTCTAAAAAAGCTTGCATATTTCTTCAATAAATCTTTTTCCTTGTCCATGTTGTCACATCACTTGCAAAACAGTATCTTCCAATTCGATGAAATGAAGCAACCAATTAGTTTGCAAACTTGCAAGTTTTTGTTTCCTTGTTCTTGTGATCGTAAGCTAAGTGAGAGTACAATAAGTGAAAGCGCGGGTATATTATACATCTATGACTCGATGGTTTAATTCAGTGACAATAGATTTAGATGTCCAAAGCCACCACCAAAAATATAAAATTCCTGAACATTATGAGTGCAGTCTTTAGCAATGAAATAGTTCTCAAGAGTAAAAGGAAACACTAAAAACAGCACATTGGTTTCAAAAGTAGTAGTAGAAGAACAAAAAAGAACATTCAGATCTTCAAGGCTCAACTGCGATACGTCCAGCAACCTGGTCCAAATCCCGTTGCCCGCTGGAAGTGATTTTTCTTCCTCTGTAAGACAAACAAGAACAGATTGTAACCATTAGCTATCTTGTTCAAAGATCAAAAGAGAAGGTTTTTGATGTTAAGAAAGTAGAAAGTTATGCTTACCCTTTGGTGTCGATCTCAACAATGTTCATTGTCTCCAACTGCTGAAGGATGTGACGGGCAATGCCACCGCTGCTCTTGCAGAAGTGTGGTGGGCGACTACCGTTTCTTTTGCTGCCACCGTAGATTCTACGGAAAGCACCAACACCAAGACCTCCCCTGAGGTAAACCTTCCTTGCCATAGATGCTGGATAATAACAAGAGTTACTTGTCAGAAAAATTTATATTGAGGAATAGAGAGAGACCAATAAGGATCACATGAATTAAGCTTACCAGCTCTGATGTAGTACCAGTCTGGATCATATGGGGCAAGCTCCTTCAACTTACCGGTCTTCACAATGTCTGTCCATGTGGGAAGCTCGATCTGTAACAAACAATAGACATCATTGTTAAGAACTCAGGAAACAAGAAACCACTATAGTAAAAAGAAGTAGAGCTCGAGCTTCAATTATTGTTCCACACATGCAGTTGCCAGTTTCAATCAAATCAACAGACATAATAAGAGACTATATTATGAATTCCAAGCACTAAAGTCGCATGAAAAACACACACAATTGAGAAGCATCAAATCATTGGAAATCTCAATCTAGAGACATTACATTATGAATTTAAAGCATTTAGGTATCAAGAGAAACACAAAATCGAAACAGAGATGTCTACAAACAAATAACAAACATTGAAATGTTAGATTTTATTGTTGTACCCTAAAGATACTAATTTCAATCGATCCAACAGGCATTATAATCTCGATTTCTATTTAGATACATAGTATGAGATCTATCTAAGACATTCCCACTATGCAAAACCTCAACACAGAAGAAAAGAAACACGTCGTGAACAATCGGAGAACAGAAGTGTGGATACTTAGATTGAGTTAATTTCAGAAAAGGGTTATCATTTCCGCATCAAAAAAGCTTAAAACTTATCATTTTCTTACTCAAACACGAAAGAACATCACAAAGCCACTAACCTTTCCAGATCGCTTGAGATGAGAAGCATACGCCTTCACGAAGTCATGAGGCGAGACATCTTTCACAGTTTTACCAGTCGCCATAGCTACAACAGACTAAGCTCCAGAGAGATGAACAAGCACTGATCTTCGTCTAGGGTTTTGCCCAACGCAGCTGTATCTCTCTCTCGTCTCTCCGCAACGACTAGGGTTTTCAATCTCCATTAACAAACCCTNTATATACCATCAACAAATTTCGATTAGGGTTTTCTCCGGATCCGGATCTAAAACCCGACCCGTAAACTAATGGGCCCAAAGTTCCTAATACGGCCTTTTTGACTAGTTTCATATTACGACACCGTCTTAGTACTGATCCAAAACGTCGACGTTTTAGCGTTGCTTAACCACTGGCTATTACTTCGCATCTCGAGTCGTCTCTTCCATTTTTGGCTTTTTAATCAAACCCT